ATCCATCAAACAGAGTATAGTCTGTTGTCTCCCCAAGGACAGAGACCAGAGCCTTATTTCAGCCCACTGAGTCAATTTCCCCGTGTCTGTCTGGTAATTCGACAGCAAGGTCTATTGCCCTAGCAACTGCCCTTATACTGCCATGGCAACCGCCAGTGCAGACTTCTGTTCTCCACTTTGCCCCTTGGACATCTCCATGGCGATGCGCAGGATGAAGAGAAGGCCAGAGCCCTAATTCTGCGCCTGCGTAGAGTGGGAGACGGGGGGAGGGGGCGGGGGGGGCAGGCTCCTGGATGTGCGCAGCCGCAGACCGCCGCGGCTGTGCCTAATACCCATCGCTGCGCACTTGACAGCCAGTCCGCCCGTCCGGAGCCCGGCTCGTTGGGGCAGCATGGCGGGGTCGCCGCTGCTCTGCGGGCCGAGGGCCGGGGGCGTCGGCGTTTTGGTGCTGCTGCTCTTGGGCCTTCTGAGGCTGCCCCCCACCCTGTCAGCGAGGCCCGTGAAGGTGCGACCCCAGTCAGCAGGGGGTGGGGGTGGGGTGGGGAAGAAGATGGGGAAAAGTGTTGGTGAGGCATTTTTGCCAGTATGCGCATAAAGCTTGGCAAGGGTGGCTTGGGCTGCAGCTGACAGCCCCCCGCGCAGGCCAGGCGCAGTTTCAGGGTGTGAGGATGATGTTGCTCAGGGCTCGCTCGGCCAGCAGACGCACCCTGCCCATCCCTCAGCATCCGGGGCCTGGCCTGATCTCGATCCGCGAGTGGCCTGTGGAGCTGTCTGTGGCACTAGGGTATATTCAGAAAAGCTATCTAAGCCTGTGATGTGATGACCGAGGTGTACAGGTATTGTGTCCTTTCAGTGTGTCCTTTGGTTTGACTGCCCCTGAACGCCCGCCCTACAATACTGGAGAAGCCTCTGTTTGACTTTTTGCGGGCCTGGATGGTACCGTGTGTATATTTGTGAATTCTTATGGGTGATGACGTAGTACATGGGCGTATCTTTCTGTGTAGTTGTGTATTTCTGTGTTCGTTTGTTTTCATCTTGGAAGGAGTGGTCCTTGTACCTTGGGGTACATATTTCATGGTGGCTTGGACAGACTGAGTGCTTGGGTTCTTCTGTGTGCAGCCCTGAGACAGTTTCCTTTTTGCTTCCTTGTGGAGCTGTGTCATTGAAGGGAAAGAAGCCATGATGTCTCTGCATTTTGTTTTTAAAGGTGATGCGTGCCCTTGCACCTGGGTTGCTCAGAGAGTGTAACTGAAGATCATTTCTCCAACAGGAACATGCACACAGGCACGAAGAAAAGACCACTTCTATGCAGTTCCTTGAAGTGGCTATGGCAGTGTTGGGTTGGGTTGCATGTGTGATGGGTGATTTCCCCTGGTGCTGAGGGCGTGGATGCTGATCAAGGGCTCTTCAAAGCTGTCTAGAGCACAGAGGATTTTAAAAACCATTCCCTAGCCTCGCCCCCTCCATAGACATCACCTCCTATATTCTGCCCATTGATCCCATACTTTTATTTGCAGCGTATCTTTAAACAACCCATTGTTTCGTTCCTCCAGCTTTTGGAACATACGAGAAATGAAATCAATCTGCTCTCTGGCATCTGCTTTCTGGCGGTCACTAGGGGTCACTAAGAAGTCCTTGGTTTTGATAGACTTAGGCCCTCTGCAGTGGGATTCTAGAATTTATTTGTCTTTGTGTGTGTGTGAGATTCATTTATATTGAAGTGTACTGTTATAGTTCATTTATTGGTGCACAATATCATCTCCTATGTGTGTTTCATGAGTATCCTAGTATGTCATTGTTTATTTCCGCGCTGTTCTTTCCTTCCCCCTACTTTTTTGCTATGATAAAATGCTGCTCTGATGGTTCAAGACTTTACATCCTGTAAGCTACGTAACACCTTAGGACCCGGACACACAACCCATTCTTCTGAGACACACACAATTTCCCTTTCAAAATTATTTTTGCAAAAAAAATTTTTTTGTTTTGTTTCTCGAGATAGGATTTCCCTGTACGGCCCAGGCTGGCCTGAAAGTCAGGGATCTTGCCTGTGGAGGCTGGGATTAAAGGTGTGAATTCCCCCCCCCACACCTGGCTTATTTTTGCAAGTTTAAAATGTTTTAGTGTTATTCGAAACCTGGCATCTGCCCCACTCCCATGCCCCCCCCAAAAAAAAATGAAGAAGAGAAAAGAAACTAACAACGTGGCATCCAGAGGACTCAGGACAAGTTCTGAGATTGTGTAAATCCTAGAGGTATTCTAGTGGTCCGAAGTGCCCTTGGAGATATTTAGGGGGTTTCACCTTAGACACGATAGAATTTTGGAAGGGTCCAGTGAATGAAGTGGTCATTGAAAATCCATGGAGCCCCACCCCTAGCTGGGCATCTCTGGCCAGAGGGACAATGACGGTATTTTTTCCCTCCATCTCATCTTCCCGCAGGAGCCCTGGGGTCTGGGTGCAGCATCCGAGCCGAGCGCTCCCCTCCGCTTGCGTCGGGCCGTGCCCCGAGGAGAGGCGGCGGGTGCGGTGCAGGAGCTGGCGCGGGCGCTGGCGCACCTACTGGAGGCCGAGAGACAGGAACGCGCGCGTGCCGAGGCGCAGGAGGCCGAGGACCAGCAGGCCCGTGTCCTGGCGCAGCTGTTGCGTGCCTGGGGCTCCCCTCGTGCCTCGGACCCGCCCTTGGCCCCGGACGACGACCCAGACGCTCCCGCTGCACAGCTCGCCCGTGCTCTGCTCCGAGCTCGCCTAGACCCGGCCGCCCTGGCGGCCCAGCTTGTCCCCGCCCCTGCAGCTGCGCAGCGACCCCGGCCCCCAGTGTATGACGATGGCCCCACCGGCCCAGACGTCGAGGATGCCGGCGACGAGACTCCTGACGTGGACCCTGAGCTGCTGAGGTGCGGGGACCCGGGGGGAGGGAGGGCAAGGGCTGCAGGACCTGCTTCACGTGCTGGGGGCAAAATCACCAAAGCGCTGCGCTGGAGCCTGAGCAGGGAGGTCGTGGGTCCTGAGTACAGGGGAATGGTAGCCCATGGACCCCTGACTGGTGGGACAATACAGGAGTAGGGCTCCCCGGGTGGGTGGATCGGTTTCTGCCTGGAGTGGCCATTGTGGCAGGAAGTTTCTGGAATGGAAGGCCGGGACCTCTGATTTCCCCCAGAAAGTAATGGTGAGTTCCGCAGGCTCGAGTGACAACTGCAAGCCCTACGGGATTTACAGAGTTGCCCTGTCTGGGTTCTGAACCACAACAGTGACAATGCGTCCTCCTCACTCCACTTCTCCATGCAGGTACTTGCTAGGGCGGATCCTCACCGGAAGTTCGGAGCCAGAGACTGCTCCTGCCCCGCGCCGCCTCCGCCGATCTGTAGACCAGGATGCGGGTCCCCAGGTGCCTCCTGAGAACGTACTGGGGGCTCTGCTACGCGTCAAACGCCTGGAGAACCCCTCGCCCCAGGCGCCGGCACGCCGCCTCCTGCCTCCCTGAGCGCTGCTGCATCCTGCACGGCCTGGAACCCAGGAGCGCCCCAGCAACCCTGACTCCCTGCCAGCACGTCCACGGCTGCTTACCCCGGCAACCTCCCATCCCCTGAGCCCTCAATAAATGCAATCTATAGCAACTGTTTGTCTGAGCGGCGTGTACTGGGGCCGGTGGGTGACAACGATAGATAGTGGCTGTCCTTGGAGGACAGCACAGTAGCTGTTGGGGTCCTGTACTAACAAGGAATACAGGCCTGCCTACTCTGCTTTGCAGGACTCACCAAGTGCCTAGGCTTCACTGAGGTAGGTTCCCTGGGAGACTCTGTGGTCACTTTCAGTGTTTGCCAGGGGTCCACGGCACTAAAGGCCAAGGGGCTATGGCTACACTTGTTGCCCAGCAGGACCAGGCTTGTTGTGAGGGCCCCAGGTGGATCAGAGCTAGCTAGCCCAGACATCCAACACTGACTGTATCAACAACTACCAAGTTCTGCTTACACAGGGCTCTAGTCACTCCAACCATGGTCTTTGCCCTGGCTACTTGTTCTGTCCTCGATATGTGCAAGTTTTTTGCACAAATGTCACTTCATAGCCTTTTGTTAACCTTCCTATCACTGTCTTCTGTCGTACAAGGATGAAGGTTGTTTTCTTTTGAGGTGTCTTCTTTACATTCCTTGTATCCAAAACACAGTTGGGCAGTTCCTCAAGTTTTTTTTTTCTATTTTTTTAAAAAAAATTGAATACCTGGTCTTCCTGTGTGTAATCCTGGCCGTCCTGAAACTCACTCTGCAGACCAGGCTGGCCTCAAACTCAGAGAGATCCACCTACCTGCCTGCTTCCCTGAGAGCTGGGAATTAAAGGTGACTGCCACACCTGGCTCTTTCTTTTTTAAAATACTCTTAACCGCTGCTGGGCGTGGTGGCACAGGTCTTAATCCCGGCACTCAGGAGGGAGGCAGCAGTAGGGGAATCTCTGTGCCTTAAAGGCCAGCCTGGTCTACAAAGTGAGTACCAGGAGAAAAAAAAAATCCTAACTGCTGAGCCTTCAACTTTGTTTTCCTTTTGGAGTCTCACTATAGCTCTGGTTATCCTGAAACTCACTATACAAACCAGGCTGACACCAAACTCCTACCTGATCGCTCTTCCTGTCTCCACCTCTGGTGCTGCTGATATTACAGGTGTGTGCTGCTAACATGCTCATGTCCCCCAACTCCTTTAATGAAAGCATTCTTGAAGCATTCTTCCCCCCCACCCCAACATCACACTTAGTGCTGTGTGGAGTGCACATACCTGCAGTATCAAGTAGGGACATGATCAATCAGGAGGGGTTCAGTATCAGCCTGGGCTACGGGAGATCCTGTCTCAAAACAAGGCAAACCAAACTTGGCAGTGGTGGCCCATTTTATTCCAGGATTCAGGAGGCAAGGGCAGGAAGATCTCTTGAGTTTCAGGCAAGACTACATAGTAAGAACCTGTCTCAAAAAAAAAAAAAAAAAGGAAGGAAGGAAGGAAGGAAGGAAGAAAAGGACTTAGTACAGAGGAAGCTTTGAATCCTGAGAACATTTATTTAATTTTGCATAGAGTTTCACAGAACACAGCCAATGAGGGGCACTCCACGTTACCACCTAACTCCTCACCAAACAATAAAAAGGTGTCCGTGGTAACTTATTTGATCGGGGAGGGGAATCTTATGACAAGGGAACTGTCACCTTGACATGAGATAAGGGTCAATTTGCTTGACTAAGGTCTTCAGGCTACAGAGCAGCCACAGCTACACACAGTTTTGTGGTGTCGGGTCTTCTTGCTTGACTCAGCCACGGCCTCCTGTGCTCTCTGAATCTCATGGACAAGCAAAGCAAAGGCTTCCTCGACACCTTGCCGTGTCTTGGCTGAGGTCTTCACTAAGGGGGCTCCCAACTTGTGAGCAAGGACTGCTGCGGCAGCGTGAGCATCTCCAGCAGTGGTCACCAGGTCACACTTGTTGCCCACCAGTACCAGAGGCTGCTTGTGGTGAGGGTTCCAAGTGGACCATATCTGCTGCAGCTGGTCCAGAGACGAGGGGTCATCAAGAGCAAAGACGCCCAGCACACCATCACCCGCTGCCAAGCACTGGTCACGGAGAGCCCGGTGAATATCCTGCCCAGCTGTATCCAGCACATTTAGAATGTAGCCTCCGTTGTCCAGGGCCACTTCTTTCCAGTAGGAATCCTGGATAGTGGGGTCATGGTCTTTCACGAAGCAGTGGTGGGTCATCTGGATCGTGAGAGCACTTTTACCAACACCACTTGCACCCACCACCACTGCCTTGTACTCAGGTAGCTGCCTGCCAGCATCTTTGCATTGTGCCCAAGCCTCGTGGCTTTCCTCTGGGGATCTGGGGCACTGTGTGCTGGAGCTCAGGTCCAAGATGCTAGACTTTGTTGGCAACGCCATTCCCCAGCAGCAGGAAGAGGTGTAAACAGCAGGTGCTGAGAGTGGGAAATCAGGTGAGACAGACTGGAAGAAAGGAGACCCCAGGTGTCATTGAATCAACATGGTTAAGTAAATACTGTTTGCTCCTTATTTTGGTGTGGGGGGAGACAAGGTCTTAACCTGTAGCTTTGGCTTGCTTGGAATTTGTCCTGGTCAGGCTGACCTTAAAGTTTCGGCAATCCCCCTGCCTCTGTCTTCACAGTGCTAGAATTATGGGTGTGTGCCACCATGCTCCGCTACCCTGTTCTTTTAGAGATAGAGGCAGAGTTTTTCTTTTGACAAGCCTAGGGATCGAACCCACAGCTTCTAACATTAAGCTACTCCTTCAACACCAAGCAGGGCTATTTTTTTTCACGTGTTTTTTTCACACACACTTTTTAAATTACAAATAACTTTTAAATTACATTCATTTTGCACATGGGAGGGTTAGATTTGGGTTGATGGAGGCAAGTTAACCCTTCCGGGGGTGGGGTTGTGCAAGTATGCCATAGCATTTGTATGAAGGTCAAAGGACAACCGATGGGAGTTGGCTCTCTTCTATGGTAGTAAAGGAGTCAGATTTGGTGGCAAACACCTTTATCTCGGAACCATCTTGCCTGTCATGGGATTTTTCAAGGGCGCCTATTGATATTAACATGTACCCCATGAAGTCCACCCTGTTAAAAAGTGTGATTCGGTGAACTTTGAAATGTCCATGAGTTGTGTTATCATCACTATAGCTGAATTTGAGGAAGTTTTACAAATTTTGAACATCTTTATCTCCTGGAAAAGAATCTCTATGTTTGGGCTGATTGCTCTTCCAGAGGTCCTGAGTTCAATTCCCAGCAACCACATGGTGGCTTCACAACCATCTGAAATGGGATCTGATGTCTTCTTCTGGTGTGTCTGAAGACAGCTACGATGTATTCATATACATAAAATAAATATTTTTAAAAAAGAATCTCTATGTTCCTTAGCATCTCCACTGCACAAGGAGAGTGGGATTTGTCTTTGAACTCCAGGTTGGCACAGTAGTGCCTGTCTGCTGATTGGCTGCTTGGAACTTTCCCACCCAAGGGGTTTATGTCCTAAAAGAACAGCGTAATGTAGAAAGAGAACATGGCTGAAGATGGCATCTTGCTTAGCATGCACGGAGCCCCAAGTTCAATCCTCAACACCTCAAAAACAGCAGGGTGGCTCACATCTATAGTTCCAGGCTTCAGGTGTGTGTGTGTGAGGGGAAAAGATCTGAAGTTCAAGGTCACCCTTAGTTACATAACAAGTTGGAAGCCAGATCCTATCTCAAAGGGGGTAAAAAAAAAGCAAAACAAATCAGACAGTCTAGCAACCACCTATTATAAACAGGGACACGGAGATACACAAAGGTAAATCAAAATTGGAGGTGCTGAGCAGGGGTAGTGCTTATCTAGGGTGCACTGAGTTCCGGTTTCAATCCTCAGTAAGACATAAAATCAGGCACAGGACCGGCAAGATGGCTCAGAGGGTAATAATGATAAATAAAAATAATAAATTAAAATATTAAATATAATAAGAAATAACGATTATAATAGCCTGAGTTCTTTTGCTAGATTTCACGGTCATGCACAGGCTTATTTCGACACTTGCGAAGTAGAGATAGGTGAATCTTTGTGAGTTGCAGGCCAGCCAGGGCTAAATATTAGGACTTTTATTCAAAAAACCAAAACCAACAGCAGCAACAAAAACCTCAAAACAACCCCGCCCCCAACAAAAGCAATCGGAACTGCTGTGAACCGAATACCATTTTATGTTCTATTCCACACTCTGTAATCTCACCTTGTTTGGTGCCAGATAACAAGTTCTTAAGGTTAGGGATTTTATTATTTAATCTTAGCTAACTTTCTTAAAATTCTCCCTGTATGCCAGCATTGTGATGTGGCCCAGAACAAAACAGAGTCAACTCCAGGGGCCTTCTTGAAAAGAGAGACAATAAATATGGTAAGTAAGCAAATTATCTTGCATAGTAGAAGAGAGTTAGGCACACAACAGGTGCTCAATTTGTGTTAGCTAGTAATAGCAAGTCATTAACTCACTGAATGCACCCCCATATCCTGTTTTCACTAAAAAAAAAGGGGGGGGAGAAACAGCGGGAGGAGCCGCAGTTCAGGGGCAGGTAGTGGGTTGGGGTCCCGAGGAGATTCGGCTGAGTTTAGGAGAATGAGGCGTGGTGGGGGTTGGGGGAAGGTTTCAGGTGGAGGGACCCTCAGAAAGTACTTGCCCACAAAGCGGTAAAGGTGAGGAGAGAAATGAACAAAGAATAGAACATTGGAGTACCCCAGTGTTTGGGGACACAGAGCGGGAAGAGTCTCTGGAGGCTTGATCAGAGAAAGGATGAGGGCCGGGTAGTAGAAGAATCCAGGGGCGGGTGGGGGTGGCAGTAGAACGGGTGGAAAGGAGAGAAAAGTCAGGTTCGGATATCCCTTTCAAGATAGAAAGAAGGACTCTTAAATTTGTGACTAGAACAGCTGCAAATCTGAGGGTGCTATGATCGGAGGTGGGGATAAATACGAGATCACCTCCCTAAGGCGCTGGCGGTTTCAGTAGCCTGAGAGAGGCTGAGTGAGCCCTCAGTATGGCCACACTAAACCTCATCTTTGTAACACCCGAGGGAGGCTGGGGGCTATAGACTCCTTGTCCTTTATTCACAAGGAATAAGGGAAAAGTGAGGGGACCAGCTCCAGGCAGGCATGGTACAGACACCACAAAACGGCCCCTCAGCTTTCTGCTCAAGTTACAGAGCCCCTAACTATGTGGAGTACTGCTGGAGCACACCCAAAGAGTTCAGGGGACCTTGTAGTTTTGAGCGGCTTGAATCAGTTTTCTGGACTTAAATCTCCGACCCAGGAAGGCAGGAGCCCCAGGAAGGCAGGCGCCTAGGACGGCAAGCAGAAGCAGGCTGGGCACGTAGGGTCAAAGGAAAGGGTACAGAGTCGCTCCAAATAAGAGACCCTGTAGCCTCCTTCTTGGGGTTAGCTTGGACAACTCGCCTGGTCTCTGTGCTTTTCTGTGTCAGAGTCAGGTGAGGTGTAAGGCTCGGAAGTGGAGAAGCGTAAGGGTAACCCTAATCTGTTCCCGTGTTCCTCCACTTCGGACTCAAGTTAGATCGGCGGCCCCGGTGCTCCTTTCTCCTCTCCCCACCTCGAGAAAGTCTGCGTCCCACTTAGCGCTAGCACTCAAGTGAGCTGAGTGTGAGGCTCACTCCCTGCCCAAGGCAACGATGAGGAAGGTGTTCCTGGAATCTGGCGCCTAGAAAGATGTCTGGCCCAGGAATGCCAGAGCCCTGCTTACCTGTGTTCCCAGGAGTAGCAGTCTGCTGAGGGGCAGCAGGCGGATCTAACCGGACAGTTGGGGGTTAGGATGCTCCTTATCCCCAGTGGCAGCAGAGGGCGGAGATGTGAGCTTGCCCCCTCCCACCTGCCCGACCCCTGACCCCCCACCCCCACCCTGCTCGCCTTTCCCTTCACCCAGCGCACAATGTAAGAGCAAATGTGGGCGGGACTTCCACCTGCCCCTCTCTACACAGCCCACCCCCTCTGCCCCGCCCCTCCTTCGCCTGAACTGCAGTAAGGTTGGTTCCGCTTGGGCCATTTGTGTATAGCACTGTGTAGGATTTGACCTGGAAGACCCCACTTTGGAGTGTATAGTGCTGTGTCAGGATTTGATCTGGAAGACCACATTTTGGAAACCATTTTGTGAGTGTTTTTTGATTCAGGGAATTTATACAACTTCAGCTGGGTTTCTGGGTATCTATAAGGTAGGTTGGGTGCATCCTGAAACAGATGCAAAGGAAGGGCTATTTTGTGAGAACAGAAAGAACTTATCTGAGGCAGAAGTGCAAGTTATAAATCCCTCAGACTCTCTTGCAGCTATGATAATCACAAGCTAGAATTCTGACCAATGACATGTAAAATGGAACATCTGTAGTGCTTCCCCAAAGGGACTGGACTGGGTTTAGACATTGGTAGTGCTTGCTAGGCATGCAGGCACTGCCTAAAATATATAAGTAGCATCCTCCTGCAATCTCAGCATTAGGGAAGTGGGTCAAAAGTACAAGGTCAGGGCTGGAGAGATGGTTCAATGGTTAAGAGCACTTGCTCTTCCACAGGACCCAGGTTAGATTTCTACTCCAGTTTGAGAGCATCTGTCATCCTCTTCTGGCCTCTGTGGCATTAGACATGTATATGGTGCAAATACATACATGCAGACAAAACACTCATACAAATAAAGAAAAGATGTAGATGGTCTGAGTTCAAAGTTGGCCTGATTTATATGAGGCCCTATCTAAAAGGGTGGGAGGAGATGCCCTCCCTCTTTTTGATTAGGTGAGTCTCTGGGATGAGAAAGTAGCAATCAACAAAATCCCTAATCAGCCAAAGCAATTTTCATGATGTGGAATAAATTTCTAGAAAAGCCCTCCAATTATCCAACTCTGGTTAATGGCAGTGCATTTTCTCTCAGGATGCCACCCATAACCACTACACCCTGAAGTTAAAACTGAGCTCATCCTTACCCTCCCCAAACAAATCAATAAGGTCGATGGAGAAACAGGCCCAGGGAGGCTACTTTCTGGTAGTTTTCATGTCTTCTTACCAAGTACTTCTGACTGCCTATGACTAATGTAGACCAGGCTGGCCTTGAATTCAAGAGTTCCAACTGCCTTTGCCTTCCAAGGTTGGTGATAAAAGGCATGTACCAGGGCTGGAGAGATGGCTCAGTGGTTAAGAACACTGACTGCTCTTCCAGAGGTCCTGAGTTCAATTCCCAGCAACCACATTTTGGCTCACAACCATCTGTAATGGGATCTGATGAACTCTTCTAGTGTGTGTCTGAAGACAGTGATGGTGTACTCATATGCATAAAATAAATAAATCTAAAAAAAAAAGGCATGCACCACCATGCCTGGTGAGACTCTTTATTTCTATGGTGGGTATTCATTTTCTCAAGAATCCAATCTAATCTCCAGCAAAGCCAATCTGGCAGCCCACTTCAATTTTAGTTAAAAAAATTTTTTGGAGGTGGGGAATGGATAGACAGAGTGTTGAGTTGATGAAGACCTCTCCTTTCTTCCTGCCTCTCATCCTTCCCTCAGATGTGCTGGCTGGGAATGACGCGTTTTTTCAAAATTAAAAAAAAAAAGAAAGCTTTCTTCAGGTTTTGTAACAACTTCAACTTTATTAAATATGCAGGCCTGACACCACTGCCAGTGGTCTCCTTCAATGGCATCCTGTAATCTCAGCTCGTCCCTAGGGCTACTAAGCTGTCCCTCTTCCCTTCTGGGTAGAACAGTGTTCCTCGAGCTGGCAGTAGGCAGAGGCACATCTAAAACTCAACAATAGAACCCTCTGCAAAAGGATTTGCACTTAAAATCAGCACCTGGCAAAGGATATTCAAGATGGGTTACAGTGAGGCCACCCTCATCCAGGACTGCAGTGAACTGAGCTGCTCTGCCTGGGGCCTCGGAAGGTAAGCAGGCAGTGTGCTTCGGGATTTAGTGGGAGTGGGGCATGTCCTCCCCAAACTTGTTCTGGTGGGCAGCGTTCTTCACATCTTGGAGATCCTGAGGAAGAAGCAAGGACAAAGTGAGAGTGGCTCTATTTCAGCCACCATGAGGCTGTCACCACAGTATCAACAACCGCTTCTAGACTACCCTATACCCTTCTGCAAATATTCATGGGGCAGCCATGCAAAGGAGTCTGTGTTCTCTCCTTACCAAATGATAGAAGGGATATGGGGCAGAAGGGGACAGGGCTCAGTGTGCATGGGTTAAACACCCTGCCCAGGCTCACCTCATGGTGGACGTAAGCCTGACAGAGATAACACCAGGTAGACAGGTCAACACAGCTGAGTACCAATGGGTGTTCAGAGGCTTCATGGTGGCAGACCATATGGGCATTGACATAGCGACTGCAGTAAACCTGAGGTTGGAAAGTGACTGTCACAGGTTGCTTGGCACCAGCTGAAGTTTGCTGATGGGCCAACCTCTACCCAATACCCTCCTTTTGTTCCATACCTGATAGCAAGTCAGACACACCCAGTTCTCCTGGAGTGTTCCACAGGTCTTACAAGGTTGGGACACATTTAGGCCTGCTGCAGGAACGGGGTGTACTGCCATCAAATGGGGACACCAGGGTAGTGGGGTCACGGCATAAAATACTTCCTAGAGTGGGTAGGAAAAATGGGGTAAGGAAAAGATTCGACCTCCCCATTATACATCCTATGCTCCTCCTATCTGGAGGCATGAATAGACAAGACGTACCCATAACACCAGGCTCTCCCTGAGCTCACCTGAGCATTAAAGTCCCCAAATCCCGGTGTCAGCATCAAGCTGTTCATGTCCTGACCTCCGGCTGCTTCTCCTAGCAGGCCCTCCTCAGATTCAGAGGCTTCCTGGAAACACAGAAGGAAAAGATGTAGCTGAGAAAGCCCAGTTCTTAGCCTCTTGCCTTCTACCCTCTTCCCAGGTTTGCTGGGTTTTACCTGAGCTTCACTGCTTAGCTCCAAAGTTCTAAGAAACCCAAACTCCAGGGACTGTGGGGCTGTGGCTCCCTGCAGAGGTGACGCTTCCCTGCTTGGCTTGCTTGCATATGAGGCTGGAGGAGTTGGCCCAGTTCCTCCCACAGCCTCCTTTGAGGTGGTCTGCTTAGCTAAGTTCTCTGTAGCAGCTGCTGATGCACACTGGTCCCTGCTGGCTCCTGCCACCATCTCCTCTGAGGTGGCCAGGTCCAGCGTAGTTTCCTTAGCAGCTTGTTCTGAGGACTGGCCCTGACCAGACACTGCCTTAGCCGTCTTTGATTTAGCTTGGCCTAGAGTAGCCTCTTTCTCAGGTAATGCTGCTGTGGTCTTCTGCATGCTTAATTCGGGAACCTTTCCTTTTGGTGAGGTCATCCCCTTAGCTGCCACAGGGCTGGCTGTTGGGGGCAGCTTCTTGATGACAAGCCTAGAACTAGAGCATTCTTCCTTGTCTTCCATCTCTGGAGCAATGGAAAAGACATGTAAGTATGGCTGTCACCCCCTTTCCGACCTCTAATCCTTCCCCCACCTTCCGTTCTCAGGGAGTCCCCCCGCACCCCTGTTCTCAGGCCCACTTACTCATCAACCGCAAACTGCGCCAGTATTTGCGATGGACTTGGATGGCCTCACTAATTGAAGCCAGGGCTCCTGGCTGTGGAGGTCGCAGCGAAGTAAGCTGGGATGGTGGGTCTCCAAGGAGGGAGTGGGTACAGGCAGCCATAGATTTCGAGATGGATGCCAAGTTGTACCCGCCCTTGGTAAAGGAGAGGGTTCCACTGTAGCTCATCAGGGAATTTGGAGGGTTAGATATCCTGACTCTCCAATTCGGTCTCCTCCTTTTTCTAGGGCACTAAAAGTCTAGAGTGTAGGCTAGTACCAGGGACAAATGAGTGTGACACATTTGTAACAAGGGCAGAATTCACTGTGTGAGGTGGCTTGGGGGGGGATGTAAATGGTGGCTGTCACATGCAAGATAACAATGACGATACAGATCAGAGTATTAATACATAATAGCTCACGTTTATTGTTTGCTATGAGTTAGACCCTACTTTAACTCCTTCATGCATGCTAACCCAGCCCTCACAATGGTAGGGGTTCAATGTGGACAGACCTGTCTTCCCACGCCCAAGAGCCCCTGGCCTGCCTCACAGCATAGAGAGCACAGAGCTGCTCCACACCAAAGCTCAGGGTGGATCCCCAAAAGGCCCTGTTGGGACCTGGGATAGGAACAACTAGTATTCTCTCCGTACGGTCCCCTAACTTGAATTTCTTTATACTTGCTAGAAACCTGTTTCTACTCATTTTACATGTACGGAGACCAAGGCTCAGTCAGAGCAGGGAGATGACTTTTCTGAGGTCACAACAGTTGAGGAAGTAGTGCTGGGATTTGAACCTGGGCTGACAAAATAGTCCATGTTGTTGCTAGCATCACCATGGAGCTGATCCCTAGGCCCTTGGTACAGGCCATAAGTTCTACCACCGAATGACTGGTTCTTCACACTAGTTGAGGTTCTTAACCACCCTCAGCCTGCCATAAGCAGTCCCAGGCGAACTGTAAATAGGACTTCTTGTAAGCCAGGTAGTTTCTCCGTGACTTACTGTCCTCGTCTATGAAAATCAGCACCTAAGCTTGCTGAGTGTTAAGTTCATGTCTGAAAGATGTAATGGTAGGAAGACAGGGCATCTTTACAATGTACACTGTATGACACGGCATCTTTACAGTGCACATTGTATGACAGGGCATCTTTACAGGCTAGGAATACCTTCGTGATTAGCTAGCGCCATCTGTAGGATCAGAAAATCCATGCATATAAGGGGACGGGTACCTGTCACAAACGGTCAGTGAATTTACTTTGTCTCAATTCAAAAGATGGTGAAATCCAGGCCACCAGAGACAGATGTTCAAGTCTCAGTTCTG